CTTGTCTTCTCCAGGCTAAACATACCCAGCTTCCTAAGCTTCTCCTCATATCACATTATTCCCTGATCCTTGAGGATTTTAATCATTTCCCTTAGACATGTTCTAGCTTGTCAATCTCCCTGAATTGTGGTGCCCAGAGCTGGATTCTAGGCGAAGTCTGTCCAAAACAGAATAGAGTGATACTATTGCTTCCCTTGATCTGTCTAGATTATATTCCTTTTGATGCAGTTGAGAATCACTTAGATTTTTGTAGTTGCCACAGCAGCTTGTAGTCAACTAAGACTCTTTGATCCCTTTCACTTGTACTGTGGATCCTTGCAAGTCTGGTGTGACCCTTGCATCACATCCTGTCTGATCTTGGTAGCTAGATAGGATCAGCCCTGGTTGATGCTTGGGTAGGAGAACATCAATGAATACTCTGTCTTGTAGGCTACGTTTCAGAGGAAAGAATGGCAAAAACCAGTTCTTGCCCAAGATTACTCTGAAATTCATGAGATCACTATGAGTTCATAGGCAAGTTGGAAAAACACACACTCCTCCCTGTAGATGACCCACAAAACCTGGAGACTTGGAGCTGGGTCCTGAGATGCGTCAACCTTAATGCAGCGACTAATTAGTTTGTTATTAACAAGAGAAGATCTCAAATGTTGCCTGTAGAATTCTCTTGTGATAAGCAACCTGTTTTGCTTCCTCCTCCTGGAAGCTTCGAGTCTATTTGTCTCCTGTTGAACCAGAGACACTGAAAAATATCGCCTACACATCCTGTATGCTATTTTGTGTGTGTGTGTGCACCTGACTGCTGCATCTTCCAAGATTTTAGTACCCTCTGCTGGCAGAAAGAAAGAATGGCAAAGTCCTATAGCTGAAAGTCAAGTCTAATGTATGAGTGAAGAGGACTACAAAAAATATATACACAAACATATATGGGAGTTTAGAGACAGGATGCTCAAGGAGAGACTGTGGAACAAGCAGAAGTTTCCAAATTCTTTTTTTGTTTTGTTTCAGGAAGATGACACTTTATCCAGCTATGTGTTGCTTTTTTGTTTGGAAGATCTCTGGAGGTTTGGGTTGTTGTAGGTTTTTCGAGCTATATGACCATGTTCTAGAAGCATTCTCTCCTGACGTTTCGCCTGCATATACGGCAGGCTTCCTCAGAGGTTGTGGGGATGCCTCTGGAGGCTTGTTTGACATGTGGAAATGGCTGGTATTGTTTGCAATGTAAAAGCTAGGTGAAAGTGAAGGCCAATAGCTCAGGTACTCCAAGTAGCAAACCTACCTCCCTGCCTCAGATTCATTGTCTAGCTCTCGTACTTCCATTATCATTTTAGAAGTGGTCCAGTCTTCTGCCATTGTTAGTGCCATCAGTAGCAGGCTGCAGAGTGTTGCAAATTGCAGCATTGGAGGGGTTACACCAAAAAGACGGTCTATGCGTAATTTTGCTGCAGTGCTTCAACAAAAAATTATTTTTATTTTTATTTTTTAAAATTATTTCAGTTAGATACAAACACAAAAAAAACATTTTAACCGCAGCTTTCCTGGGCTGTATCTACACCTAGAAGGCTAAAACCCTATGATGATGTACTTTTGGAGCCTTCTAATGCAACTGTATGCCAGACAAAGCTGTTGTTATGATGCTTTGAGTAACATGGTTTCGTCTACACACATTACAAACATGTGCTGTTATGTTCCTTGTTACTAAGCTCTTTTTAAAATAGTGGCATTTTAGCTATGATATTGTGGTTTCATCTCGTATAGGACTTCATCTAAGGGAGTAACACCATGAATTACCACACTGATTGCAGAGAAAGGTGCAACCTAGGGCCCCTTCCACACTGTCCTAATATTCCAGGATCTGATTCCAGGCTATATCTGCTTTAAACTGGATTATATGAATCTCCACTGCCAGATAATCTGGGATAAGAAGGTAATCTGGGATGAGATCCTGGGATATAGGGCAGTGTAGAAGTGGCCTTAGTTCCACCAGAAAGATTCCATGCTCCATGTGGTATCAATGACACCCATTAACTGTCTGCCTCCTTCAAACACAGACCCATTAAGGAGTGATATTTGCTCGGAGAAGAGAGCCAGGCACTCAAGCCTGTTAAAAAGCAACCAGATCCTGTCCCCAGTGCAAACATTTTTTGGAGGTAGCTCTTCAGCATCCATCTGGACCTAAAGCTTTCTGTTTACTTTCAGAGTGGTCTAGAGGCCAGCCATTCTCTCGGCCATCTGTTCGACCAGCATTGATGGTCCCATTAACCTACTTGGCAAAGCAGGCATTTCTAGCGCAGACCACATGCATTACGTGTGGTTTGTTGGACTTGGTGGAAAAGCAACCTCCCTGCCCATTACACTTGTAGGGAGAAAAATCAACTATAGGGGATAGGGAGGAAAAAGCAGGATGACTATACAAAGCTACACTAAATAGAGAAAATCAGTACTATTTGTAGGAGTCAGTTGAACCATTGGTCTATGATCCATTGGCTGCCAGTTCAGGAAAAGGATTTCCAGGAAAGAAAAGAATACTTGTAGCCACTCAGGTCCTGAGCACACTGGAAAAAAAATGCTTCTCCCTCATCAGATAGCACTGGAATAGACTATCTCAGGAGATAGTCACCTTTTTTATTTGAAGTTTCTGAACAGAACTTAGATGGCCAGGCTACCTCTCAGGTGTGTCCTAGAGGAGCTTTCTCCAAGCAAGAGCTCCCAGAAGTGCTGTATTAGGTGTTGTAGCTCAGCCAGCTGAGGATGATGTGGAGGGGTTTAATATTGTGCAGCCAGCTGAGGATGTTGATGGGGGGTCTGGGGGTGCAGGCCCTGATGTTTCTGAAGGTGTTCAGACACAGGGGATGTTGGAACAGGATGACAATTCCCTGGTTGGGAGAACGGAGGGGGTTTTGGTGGACTCTCTGTGTGAAAACAAAACTGTTTTGCAGGATGACAGGCAGCGAAGAGAGGAAAAGACATTAGATAGAGAAGCAAGACTGCTTCTGCATGGGAAGAATTCCAGGTTCAACTCAGGTGATAGGAAAAAGTGGCTGAAGGAATGCTTTCATACATTGCTGTTCTTTATAAGGGGGGAAACTGCTTTCAGTGTTTAGATCAAGCAACTTAGCAATTAGAGCAAGGGACTCTTGTCTTGGTTCCCACTTCAAGTCATGTCCTGGTCAAGTTTTGCTTTAAGTCTTGGGGATTTTACCATGAACTCAAGCTAACGTATTGTTCTTTGATTCTTGGATCACTTCAATGGATGCTTTATTCCTTGTCTTTGGATTATTCAGGCTCATGAGTTTACCCTGCTCCTTGGATTTATATTCATGCTTCAACCTTCGCATTGGAGTCTTATCTATGGTTTTTGACACTCCTTTTATCTTGGATATTTTAGTCTTTTACTGTGTGTGCTTTTGCAATAAACTGTTTATTTCTATGTTGGGCTTCCTGGTGAGTGCTTGAGCAAGGTGATCCCCAGCTGAGGTGCAACACTAGGCCTTCTAGGATCCTTTGGTTCATGTCTTTTGAGCAGAAGACATCTTTGCTCCAAATTCTGCATTGCATCTCTTCAGATATTTAAATATGCCAATCATGTCGCATCTTCCTCCAAGTTAAACAGACCCAGCTCCCAAAGCTTCTTCTTAATAGTGATTGGAAATGGTAGTTTCAGTTGCATGTGTATGCCTCTGCCTTCACCCATCAACTTAAAATGATTCCCATGAATTACATAGGATTTCCTCAGACAAGGAATACTCAAAGAGCTCCTTCTTCTGAAGGCCCTCTGGTGGCCTGCCATTCAGTTGACCCTGCTTATCTTCCAAGATCACACTGGATTTGGATATTTTGGGCAATATGAATAGAACTCCATCAAATAAATTTAGCAGGTCCTTGTACTTATGTGTTCATATAAAGTCTCAATATCTTGAAAGCCTCAAAACCTGCCAGATTTCAGGAGTTGAACAGGATCAGAATGGAGACTGCCAGGGAAAACAAGGTACTATAAGTTAAGGTTGTGCTTTCGGGGTAAACCTGGACCAGTTTCGTGTATTGGTTTTTGGTGGGGGCCCCAATCCATTTTTGGACGCCTCCTGAAATTGGGAGGGCAGATATCTGTTTTTGCTCTGGGTGCCGAAAGATCCATTTTCTATCAGCCCATTTTTTTTGGGGGGGGGGGTGGCTTTCCAGGCTCCCCCTCCCATCATTTCAGGCATTGAAGCTGTTTAACTCTAGAGGAGAGGTACTCAGCTGCAGACATGCACGCACTTTAAGGAGACTTCTTACCATTTCTACTCTAGAGGAGAGGTGCTTGGCTGTAGGCAGGTTGTGAACTTTCTGGGCCTGCATGCCACACATGCATGCAGTCTCTTTCTGAGGCAAGTTCTCATTCTTACTCTAGAAGAGGCGCTCAGCTGCAGGCAGGCATGCACACTTTCTGGGCCTACACGTCACACACACACACTCTCTTTCAAAGGCAAGGAGGCAAGTTCTTACTCTAGAGGAGGCACTTAGCTGCAAGAAGGCACACATGCTTTCTGGGCCTGCACCCCACACACAGTTTTGGAGGCATGGAGGACCATGTCCTTGCGACAAGCAGGTGAGGAGCCAGGATTTCCCGTTTGCTTTTGTGTTGAGCTGATTTTCATACTGGGAGGGGCCTTCCTGTTACCTGCTCCTGAAGGAAATGAAAGTAATGAACACATGAAACAAAGGGAAACGGTTCCGTGCACGACTCTACTATACGCTCCATTCAAAGATAGGCAATAGCAACCCACCTTTGAATGTTCCTTGCCTATGAAATCCATAGGGTCACCAAAGATGAGAGAAGCACACACTTCACATTTTAATAGCCATCTCTCAATTAAAGATGGTACTTTATGGATGACACATTCTGTGCCCTAACAAAACATATGCCAGCACAAATATGTGAGTTCTTTGGTTTTTACACCTACTTATGTGATTATATAACAAAAGGCGTGGGTTACTTGAAAAAGAGAAAAGAGAGACAGGGACAAATAGAACTCATTTTAATACAATAAGTTAACCTATGGTGTCACAGTATTTACTTGGATTCCCTTCACAAGTGATGTAAATAAAACTCTTTCTCCCCCAATAAACACAATCTGTGAGTGGTTTATGCAACATAACAGGTGCCATGGAGCTGTTTTGAAAGTTGACTGCAGTCCCCTGAAATGAAGCAATTTGTTCTGAAAGATTTGCCTAGCACACATTCCAACTTTCCTATGAGCAGTTTCAATTCTAAAGGACCACATAATCTTCAGTCTAGGGTCTTTGTTGTTGTGCCATAGACAAACGCAGCCTCGGGAGCCCCTTCTTTGGAGCATGGACCAAGTGCAACTCAAAAATCAATGTGGAAACACTGCCAATTTGAATAGAAATATTGCAGAGTGCATATTGCACCATCAAATAATGAAGGAAATACAAGAGTCCACTGAGTTTTTTCTTGGAAGTACAACTTTCACTATTGGCTCTTCTTCTCTGTATCCTCTTTGCTTTTTTTCCAAATCCAGTCACGTAGGTGGACTTCCCCTTGCTTGTGCATGATTTCCCCTTCCTTGTGCACGATTGTGGATGATGGTTTCTATATCCAGGTGGAAATCCAGGCGTCTTTTGCAAGTGTCGATTACAAATATATCTCCCTGAACCACAATGCACAACGCAAACATGACAGTGATATGAATTCCCCATTATTGTTATCAAAGGCAGTATGATACCACCTACACAGGGACTCTCCCCTCAGCATCTGTTAGGACTTTGCAAATTTCAAGATGCTGGTGATCACAAAGATGTTGCAGAATTTTAAATCTTCATTCTGGATTCTCATAGTGAGTGTAACTCTGTAGCTCCCCTTTGAGATTCTTGAAGTCCGGCCGCTCATTCGGGTTGAGTCTCCAGCATTTGCACATGATGCCGTAGATCGTAGGAGGACAATTCAGAGGGCAGTGCATCTTGAATCCAGTTTGGACATGCTTGAAAACTTCACCATTGGTCATACCTGACACAGGAGGCAGAACATGTATGGTTAATAATAAAACAAGAGACACAAAATGCCAATATATCAATAATTGGGTTGTTGTAGGTTTTTTCGGGCTATATGGCCATGGTCTAGAGTCATTCTCTCCTGACGTTTCGCCTGCATCTATGGCAAGCATCATCTGATGCTCGCCTGCATCTATGGATCCCTGCCATAGATGCAGGCGAAACGTCAGGAAAGAATGCCTCTAGACCATGGCCATATAGCCCGAAAAAACCTACAACAACCCAGTGATTCCGGCCATGAAAGCCTTCAACAATACCAATAATTATTTTTTCAATCCCTTTAAAACTCCCCAGAAAAACCCCACACAATATTTCTTCCATAGTACCTGGGTAAGGGTTCTGTCCAAGAGTCATGATTTCATAGAGAAGGATCCCAAAAGACCAAACGTCAGATTTGACGGAGTAGCGCCCATGGGAAAGTGCCTCTGGTGCCGTCCATTTGTAGGGAATGTTGCTGGAATAAGAGAGGTAGATGTCATCCTGCAGAAACAGAAGGAATAAATGTATTGCATTATTTCGTAAAAAATGAAATGCAAAGATACAGAATGGGGGATGCAAGGCTCGAGAGCAGTACATGTGAAAAAGATCTTGGAGACCTTGTGGACAACAAATTAAACATGAGCCTACAATGTGATGCGGCAGCAAAAAAAAACCAATGGAGCTTTGGCCTGCATCAAGAGGAGTATAGCATCTAGATCCAGGGAAGTCGTGCTACCCTTCTATTCTGCCTTGGTTACACCACACCTGGAATATTGTGTCCAATTCTGGGCACCACAATTGAAGGGAGATGTTGATAAGTTGGAATGTGTCCAGAGGAGGGCAACTAAAATTATAAAGGATCTGGAAAACAAGCCCTATGAGGAGCAGCTGAAAGAGCTTGCCATGTTTAGCCTGCAGAAGAGAAGGCTGAGAGGAGACATGATAGCTATGTATAAATATGTGAGGGGATGTCATAGGGAAGAGGAAACAGGCTTGTTTTCAGCTGCCCTGGAGACTAGGACGTGGAACAATGGCTTCAAACTACAAGAAAGGAGATTCCACCTGAACATTAGGAAGAACTTCCTGACTATGAGAGCTGTTCAACAGTGGAAGTCTCTGCCCTGGAGTGTGGTGGAGGCTCCTTCTTTGGAGGCTTTTAAACAGAGGCTGGATGGCCATCTGTCAGGGGTGCTTTGGGTGCAATTTTCCTGCTTCTTGGCAGGGGGTTGGACTGGATGGCCCATGAGGTCTCTTCCAGCTCTATGATTCGATGTGCTTTTAGTACAGTGTATATGAGCCTGCCCAAGCCCCAAAATCTTCAGGAGAGACTGTTCTCCCTTTGGCTCCCATGGTATTCTTCAATGGCCAGATACCTTTATTCTGGTAAGACTTTGATAACTGAATGTTTTGAAAGAAAGAACTTCTAAGGATGCTTCTCTACACCGTAGAATTAATGCACTTTGGCACCATTTCACTGCCATCGCTCAATGCTATTTTTGTAGCTTGGAGTTACTGTCAATTGCTGTACATTCAGAAAGTTGTCCTTTATTTTTTTTTCTATCACTTTCTTCCTCCAATCCTTCCTCCCTTCCCATTGCAATACTGACTTTTCATCGCATCTCAAATTTACCTTGATAAGCCTGGCCATTCCAAAATCTCCCACTTTGCAGATGTTGTTTTCTCCCACCAAGATGTTCCTGGCAGCTAAATCCCGATGGATAAAAGTCTGGGACTCCAAATAGCACATCCCCTCGACCACCTGGGACGCAATGTCCACCAGCTCTACTTTTTGTAACCATTCTCCTTCGGGACCTGGAAAGAAGCATTGTGGGACACTTTTATTTGTCTTTATCTCGAACCACACCTGATTCTTTTGAATTATCCAGGGAAGTCATCCTACTCTGCCTTGGTTAGACCACACCTGGAATATTGTGTCCAATTCTGGGCACCACAAATGAACAGAGATGTTGACAAGCTGGAATGTGTCCAGAGGAGGGCAACTAAAATGATCAAGGGTTGGAGAGCAAGCCCTATGAGGAGCAGCTTAAAGAGCTGGGCATGTTTAGCCTGAAGAAGAGAAGGCTGAGAGGAGACATGATTAGGGCCATGTATAAAGATGCGAGAGGAAGTCATAAGGAAGAGGGAACAGGCTTGTTTTTAGCTGCCCTGGAGACTAGGGTCCCTTCTACACAGCCTTATATCCCAGAATATCAAGGCAGAAAATCCCTCAATATCTGCTTTGAACTGGGTTATCTGAGTCCACGCTCAGATAATTTAAGATTTTCTGCTGATATTCTGGGATATAAGACTGTGTGGAAGGGTCCTAGGACATGGAGCAATGGCTTCAAACTACAGGAAAGGAGATGCCACATAAACATTAGGAAAAACTTTATAACTGTGAGATCTGTTCAGCAGTGGAACTCTCTGCCCTGGAGTGTGGCTTTTAAGCAGAGGCTGGACGGCCATCTGTTGGGGTACTTTGAGTGTGATTTTCCTGTTTCTGGGCAGAATGGGGTTGGACTGGATGGCACACGAGGTCTCTTCCAACTCTAGGATTCTGTGTTCAGCATCAGTCACAAAGTCACTCAGGGTGCATCTACACTGTAGAATGAATGCAGTTTGACCCAACTTTAAATGCCATGCCTGAATACAATGGAATCCTGAGATTTGTAGTTTGGAGATGTACCACTATTCTTTAGCAGGAAAGGCTAAAGACCTTGTAAAACCTCATTTTCCAGGATTCCATTGCATTGAGTCATGGGAGCTAAAATGGTGTCGAATTGTATTTTTTCTTCAGTGTAGATACACCTTTGCTTTCTAGTTTCCCTTTCCATACCTCTCTTGCCTGGCAAAGTTCACATCCCATGTATGTCCGTTGAGATCTCAGAATTCGTTGTTACAAATACAGCAGCAACATATTACACAGAATGGACAGAAACACAACTTCAAGAATATTCTTATTGTGGAAATAATGCTACAGCAGTGCAACTCTCAGTAATTGGGGGGGGGGGGGTCTCACCTCGGAGGAATTCCAGCAGGTTCCCTTTGCTCATGAATTCTGTAATGATGTAAACAGGGTCCCCAAGAGAAGAGATGGCATAAAGTGAGAGAATGTGTTTGTGCCTCAGTTTCTTCATGGCCTCGATTTCGTTTTTGAACATGTCCTGGTGTGCCAAGTCATCTGGAAGGAGGGAGACCGTTAAGACAACCACATATGGAAAGGGACGAGAAACTGTGGACTTCTTCCATTTAGAAGCTTTTGAGATAAATCCTACATGACATGAGCAAACGTTTTGGTTTCTATCTCTCCCTGCAGATTCACACATCTGCTTTCATGAGCCCTTCAATCCTCCATCTCTCAAATGAAGACACAGAACATACCCTCACAGATCATAACAAGGATGCATATAGCCAAGCAACATCACGGAGTTGGTTGAGTACACACTCCTTTTGCACATTGAACTCAGTTTGCAGCAATACAACTAATCAGAGAACAGAGTGGAAATGTGGGAGGATGAGAGAGAAACAGGAGCATTTTAAAAGCAGCTGAAAAAGTGGGATGACAGAGGAGTAATTGGGACAATCCTTGCTAAATTGGGACATTTGGTGAGTATGCGTTCTACATGCATCCTTTTGTTTCCAAGCAGAAGTGAGATTTAATATGATAAGGGAAGTCAACTGCACAGAGGAAGATGTCATAGGGGAGCATAAAGTGACAGAACATAAAATTAAAGCCTTTACTTTGGAAAAAGAGAGAGGAAAACGACACTCTCCAGTTGCACCAACTCAACTGGGTTTTCTTTGGCTTCTTGTCTTGTTGTTGTTATTTGCCTTTTGGGGTTTAAATTCCATACACTTCCCAAGGCAGTTTTACTAGGGAACTATACAATTATTTTTGAGATATGCTTCAAGATAGGAAAGTGTGTTTATGTGGTTCATAACGCTTCCCGACTCCCATACTCTCCAACTCTTCTGATTTGCAGAAACAGCCCCAATTAATCTTTTATCATTCTAATGCTTCAGCTGCTTTTAAACCGTCCCAGTTTCTCACATCTCCTCCCACTTTCCCTCTTTTAAATCAACAGTTGCAAACTGAGTTTAAAGTGCAAAAGTAATTTGCACTCCATTAATTTGGTAGCAGGACCAGAGGAGCATATATAATCTTGCCCATCCCTGTTGGCTCAGGCAAAAGCAAACTGCTACTAGCCTCATCTAACCTATATGTTCTTCCTTAACTTCCCCCATTTTGGATAGTACTTGGCCACATATATCCTGGTATTCATCTGCAAAATGCTGGAGGATATAGACTTCTCAGCTTGCCTTATTCAAGAAAAAAAAAAGATCATCAAGTTTGAGGACAACACCAGAAGACAGGAGCAGAATTCAAAATAATCTTAACAGACTAGAGAGCTGATTGGCCAAAATAATACAATTAAGTTCAACAGGGACAAATGCAAGATACTCGACAGCAGTATGTGTAAAAAAGATCTTGGAGTCCTCGTGGGGAAAAAACTGAACATGAGCCAATAATGTCATGTGGTGGCTAAAAAAGCCAATGGGATTTTGGTCAGCATAAATAGGAGTAAAGTGTCTAAATCCAGGGAAGCCATGCTACCCTTCTATTCTGCCTTGGTCAGACCACACCTGCAATACTCTGTCCAATTTTGGGCACCACAATTTAAGGGAGATGTTGACTCTAAACTGGAATGTGTCCAGAGGAGGGCGACTAAAATGATCAAGGGTCTGGAGAACAAGCCCTATGAGGAGCGGCTTAAAGAGCTGGGCATGTTTAGCCTGCAGAAGAGAAGGCTGAGAGGAGACATGATGGGGGCCATGTATAAATATGTGAGGGGAAATCATAGGGAGGAGGGAGAAAGCTTGTTTTCTGCTGCCCTGGAGATTAGGAAGAATTTTCTGACTATGAGAGTTATTCAGCACTGGAACTCTCTCCCAAAGTGTGGTGGAGGCTCCTTTTTTGGAGGCTTTAAAACAGAGGCTTTGAATGCAGTTTTTCTGCTTCTTGGGAGGGGGTTGGACTGGATGTCCCATGAGGTCTCTTCCAACTCTATGATTCTAGGGTAAATTGCACCTAAGCATGGGAATTATTCACCTTTTAAATAGGTTGCTCCCCTCTGCTTTTACCCTCCACTATTCCCCAAATAACAATTTTTCACATCTACAAATGAACTTGCATCAATTCTGGATTTAATCTGATTGTTGGTGGCATGCATGATCCCCAGAAAATTTTGCCACAGAACACTGGCCCCTGAACTTGCCATCAATGCCAATGTCTGTTTGGGAATTTCCATTTTGACCCCATACGTTGCCTGAGAAAGATCATCGGACACCAGAAAGCTATGATTGGCACTTGACCTTTATCCCAGTTAAAACATGCTGGCATGCAAAGCATGCAAATGCAGGAACCTCCAAATGCCAGTCTAATGGATGAGTCACCCGAAACCTGCAAATGCTTCTCGGATTGTAAATCACTGTTCTCACAAAGCTCTCCAAGGTGTTTTTATCCGGACCAGTTTAACTTGAGGTTTTGCTTGTTGTTCCAGTTCTACCAGGGACGTTATAGATATAAATCACTGCTTCTGGATCTGTTTTTTTTTTATGAAACTCTATCTACTAGTCATAGGAGAGAGGAAGTAGAGAAAGCAGGGAAAGATAAGGAGAGAAATGGTCAGGTGGAGCAAGGAGTAAGTTACTGATACTCAACTCCTCTGGATTGTTTGTGATAATAAAGAAAAAGGAGAGAGAGAAAGAAAGAGAGATTCTTTTGGCCACAATATGGGAAAAGGCAGTAATTCTCCCTCACCCAACTCTGGGTTGCCATATTATTTGCTTTCAAATAATATGCATTTACACTGTAGAATTAATGCAGTTTGGCACCCCTTTAACTACCATGGCTCAATGCTATAGAATCATGAGAGTTGGAGATTTTCAAAGTCTTTAACCTTCTCTGTCAAAGACTACAGGTGCCTCATCAAACTACAACTCCCAGGATTCTGCAGCCTTGAGCCATGGCAGTTATAGCAGATCAAATTGTATTAATTCTGCAATGTAGATTCACCCGTGGTCTCAGCTTTTGGCCTCACAGGGTATTAGATATTGCTCAGCTGGAGAATGGCCATAATAGGCTTGGACTTGCGCAGCTTGATCACTCCTCAGCCAAATGAGGTTCTTTGCAAATTCAAATCCTCACCTCTGGAGAGGACTTTGATGGCCACCTTGACTCTGTCCTTCCAGTATCCTTCATAGACTTCTCCGAAGTAACCTGCGCCCACTTTCCGGATGAGGCTGAATTCTTCCTTTGGCCTTTCCCAGTCATCCCAGTGTGGCATCGACTTGGGCTCTTGCTGGAGAGAAAAAGAAATAGCAAAAATTTCATGACAGGTTACCCAGGGAGCAGCAACCATTTCTATCTTTTCCTGAAACTTTCTGTAAATCAGCAGCCAATGGTGTTGCAGACCACCACTCTGAGTTGCATTGAGTGACACAAACATTTTGAGATGATTTCTACTAGGGTTGTACTTATTTATTCTTTTTTAAAAAGAACATGCTGTTGCCTTTCAGTTTTCTCTATATGATTCTTGACCTACGTAACTGCTTTGCTGTTGAACCATAGAATGGTTTCATGTTTTAGTAATTGGTCATGAGTCCGGAAACCATGAATTCCTATAAGAGGTGGCTCTGAGATTTGGGTAGATTGAATCCTGAAAAGAGAAGGTTAAGAAGAGATCTGGAATGGATGGTCTCTTTAATTCTACCATTTTATGTGCATCTGCTTTGCTTTATTTTAACCTGGGGAAATCTCCCCAGATGCAAACTTTCTACAACCTAATATGGTCTTGATGGGGATTCCGCACCAACTTTGATTGATGGGTGCATGATTCAGGGATTCCCTAGTGGTGGCACCACTACTGCAGGAGATTGTGGGACAGGCAATCATCACTAATTGGTGATGATTTCCTGTCCCTCTAGCTAGGACTGTCCAATGACTCATTTACTATTTATTAACCATTTATGGCTTATGGAACTACCATGGGCAGTTGTCTCTGATTTTGAAGACAGGTTACTGAGGACAGCAGTCTATCATGTTCAGTGTCTACCTTGTGGAAGCCATTCTAGATCAGTGCTACATAAAGTGGCACTAATGGTGAGTTTGCAGGAAAGAAAGAAGAGTTGCAGTTCATAGGCATAAATATAGTTCTGGAAATAAAACCCTACCAGTTCCCCATATCAGAAGCATTTGTCTAGGCCAGTGGTTCCCAGCCTTTGGTCCTCCAGGTGTTTTAGACTTCAGCTCCCACAATTCCTAACAGCTGGTAAGATGGCTGAGATTTCTGGGAGTTGAAGTCCAAAACACTTGGAGGACCAAAGATTGGGGAGCATTAGGTCAGCATCTCTCAACCTGGGGGTTGGGACCTCTGGGGGGGGGGGGTGTCATGAAAAGGTTTCTGATGGTCTTAGGAACCCCTTTGGCAGAGAAGGCTGAAGATCTCTCTGCCTGTCCTTCTCTTCCTTTTTGGAAACAGACTGCAAATCCTCCAATCAAAAGCCCTCCTCCGCTGTGATTGGTCGGCCTCTCAGACAAGGGGAAGGCTGTTTGTGAGATTCCAAGTGGGGAGGAGAGAGCAAGCATGCTCGGCGCATTACAGGGTGGTGCACATGTATGGGCAAGGAGAGCATGTGAGGCTGGAGGGAGGCTCATGCCAGTGAGTCCCTTCAAGGCATGGGGGTTCTGTGCGGGAAGTTTGGCCCAATTCTAGCATTGGTGGGGTTCAGAATGCTCTTCGATTGTAGGAGAACTATAAATCTCAGTAACTACAACTCCCAAATGTCAAGGTCTATTCTCCCCAAACTCCACCAGTGTTCACATTTGGCCATATTGAGTATTTGTGTCAAGTTTGGTTCAGATCTATCATTGTTTGAATCCACAGTGCTATCTGGATGTAGGTGAACTACAACTCCAAAACTCAAGATCAATGCCCACTAAACCCTTCCAGTATTTTCTGTTGCTCATTGGAGTTCTGTGTGTCAAGTTTGGTTCAGTTCCATCATTGGTGGAGTTCAGAATGCTCTTTGATTGTAGGTGAATTATAAATCCCAGCAACTACAACTCCCAAATGACAAAAATCAACCCCCACCCCACCAGTGGGCATCTGTTTCTTATATGTACATAGCAAATGTGTACAGTATGCCCACATTTGGGCATATTGGGTATTTGTGCCAAATTTGGTTCAGTGAATGAAAATATATCCTGCATATCAGATATTTAGATTGCGATTCAAAACAGTAGCAAAATTACAGTTATGAAGTAGCAATGAAAATAATTTTATAGTTGTGGGGGGGGGGGTCACCATAACATCAGGAACTGTATTAAGTAAAAAAACACTGGATTGGATGGATCTATGTTTTGCCCTTCCAAAGCAATTCATATATTTATTAAACTTAACACATTTACTGTATACATATAAGAAACAGGTGATGAGAAAAAAAGTCTGGATGCAGTTTGTTCAGAGCTTGCAAAGATAACTTTTAAAAGTTTAGTAGATCATGAGAATGTTTCGGATGTTAGGTTGTTGTAGGTTTTTCGGGCTATATGGCCATGTTCCAGAGGCATTCTCTCCTGATGTTTCGCCTGCATCTATGGCAAGCATCCTCAGAGGTAGCTTGCCATAGATGCAGGCGAAATGTCAGGAGAGAATGCCTCTAGAACATGGCCATATAGCCCAAAAAACCTACAACAACCCAGTGATTCCAGCCATGAAAGCCTTCGACAATACATTGCGGATGTTGTTTATCTAGATTTCACTAGATAAACCATGTGTTTCACAAGGTTCCCCATAATATTTGATTTGTAAACTGATTAAATGTGGAATATATTGGAAACACCATTAGATGCAGCCATAATCAAGAAGAGGCTGGACAGCTACATGTTGGTGATATTTTAGCTGGAGATCCTGCACTGAGCTGGGATTTGGGCTCAACGGCCCATGTAGTTCGTTCCTTTCAACACTAACAATTTTCGCTCATGACAATACTCATGATGGTTGGGGGATTCCGGTAGTTTTAGTCCTACAGACAAGGGCAGGGGTCCTCAAACTTTTTAAACAGAGGGCTAGGTCACAGTTCCTCAAACTGTTGGAGGACCGGATTATAATTTGAAAAAAAAAGCATGAATTAATTCATATGCACACTGCACATATATTATTTGTAGTGCAAAAAACGCTTTAAAACAATACAATAATTAAAATGAAGAACAACCTTAACAAATATCAACTTATTAGTATTTCAGTGGGAAGTGTGGGCCTGCCTTTGGCTGATGAGATAGGATTGTTGTTGTTGTTATTGTTGTTGTGTGCTTTCAAGTCCTTTCAGACTTAGCTTGACCCTGAACGAGTGCCGGGTAAATGACCTTGGAGGGCCGTATTCGGCCCTCGGGCCTTAGTTTGAGGACCCCTGGACAAGGCTTTAGAGTTTTCCCCTATCATCCTCAGGCTTTGCTTAATATTGCACAGCTAACTTCATCAGGCTCTTGGTTTCTAACATTCGGAACCCAAAAGTGCTTTTAAACATGCACAAAGCATTGCCTTGGTAATCTTGCTGCTGTTACCAGATTGGCAATTAATTCTTTTAGTTCTTTTGGTATTTTAACATTGTCAATAAATGACAGCAGTGCTATCTCCGGTGTTCCTGTTATCTCTATTTGGGTGATTCTTCTTATTTCTTGAAATACATTTTCCCAAAATTTTTGAACATATTTGCAAGACCACCACATGTGTATATATGTGCCAGTTTCTTATTAATAGCTAAAAAATGGAAAGAAGGAGGGGAGTGCCAATTGGAAGAGTGGTATAAGTAGATCTGGGACATCACAATAAATGATAAACTGACAGGAAACATTAAGGTTAAAAGAGGATTATCAAAAAAAAGATGATTTTGGGAAGATTTGGGGGAAATTGATAGAATATGTATATATAGAAGGTAAGGGGACCAAACCTGTAATAGAAACAACTGATTTTTGGGAATAAGTATTGTAATTGGCTGGTCGGGGGTGAAGGGTTAGCACTGGGTGATTGGATGTAATGAAGCAGGAGAATGAAATATTATAGGTATCAAGACATACATGTTCTGTACAATTGTTAACAGGAAGTGATAAGTATAAGAATGTTTAAATACTGAATATGTTAAAGCTACAATAAATAATTTTTTTAAAAAAGGGGAAAAAAAGCATTGCCTTGGTCTCGTGTCCTTTCTTTTCAAACAAGGTTTTGTGTAAAAAAAGAGTGAGGAGAAAACAAGACTGGCCAGCTCATTCTTTTTTCCACGTCTCTTTCTGGAAATTCTGGTTTGGAGCGGTCACATGCTGTCTGGCTGGAATATTTGAGACGAGGAAAAAAAGGCACAAAGATCGCACTGCGATTTGTTTCCTTGTATTAGACACTCCTACAGCAAATCTCAAAAAGCCAAGGAAACCACTCCAGAACCTGGTATTGTTGACTAGCCAAGATATTGGCCTATGAATTAAGAAGGTGCTTTTCCTCTGAACTTACTACATATGCGTTTACACTGTAGAATTACTGCAGTTTGATACCACTTTGATTGCAACTTCTCTATTGTTTATTTATTTATTTCCAACATTTGTCCCCCACCCTTCTCAACTTGGGATGGCTTACAACGGTAACAATTCAATGCCAACACATACAGAATACATACAGAATTTATCAGCATTACACATTAAATAAAACCATTAAGTTAAAATCCATTTTAAAAACATTATTAACAACCATTTAGCCAAATCCAATCTAATTCAGCATCCCAAGGCTTTGTCAGAGCCTGTCCGTCAGCAGTTCACGTAAACATTGCAATCACTATCAAGCCTGCTCCCCTCAATGCTATGGCATCTTGGAAGTTGTAGTTTGGGGAAGACCCAGTACTCTTTGGCAGGTAAGTCTAAAGGCCTTGTAAAATTACAACTCCTGGGACTCCATAGCATTGAGCCATGGCAGTTAAAATGGTGCCAAACTGCATTACTTCTACAGCATAGATGCATCCTAGGTGACTTCAGGCAGGTTACTATCCCTCTCAATCTCTGCCCACCTGACATGCAATATGGAGGAGACTTTGATCCACTCTGCAGGATTGTTATAAGGATTCCAACTGAATGGTGTATAATGCAAAATGTCTGAAAACACTATACTAGGTGCTGGGAACATCAGGCCCTGCAGGCAATTCTGGCCCTCTCTGATTCCCTACTGAACTCTAAGGGCTTCTCCCAATGTCCACTATCACTTCCCACCATCACTTGGTAGGTTCTCAGCCTTTGTATATTTGTTCCTCCGAGCTTGTAAAACGAGACCTTTAACCAAATGCATGACAGTACTTTTGAGCTCGTTCAGTATGCCTTTACTAGCCTCACTCACTAGCGGAAAGCAGCCTGTGAGAATTTTACTGGAATAGAACCTGACCCTTGGTGGGAAAGAGGGTCCCCACCCTTCTTTGTTGTCGTTAAGTACCTTTAAACCACCTCTGATTTACGGGAACCATACCATAAGGTTTTCTTGGCAGGGGAGAGTTTGTTATTGCCTTTCTGAAGGTTGAGAGAATGTGACACACCCAAGCATCATAAAGCTAGACCACTAAGGTCATCCAATCCAACTCTCTGCCATAAAGAAGCAAAAAAAGCACTTTAGAGAGATGGCCATCCAGCCTTTGTTTAAAAACCTTCAGAAAAGGAGACTCTCTGGCACACTCCAAGCATATTCCACTGTTAAATAGCTTTTAGATTAAATATCTTTTTCTGCAAGCCTCTAGAGCAGTGGTTCCCAACCATTTTTTGACCAGAGAACATTTTGACTGAGGACTACTGTCCAACATTAGTATCAAAAGGGTTACGAATCAGTTTTTGGTCAACTTTAGATTTGGTTTGGTTATTTGGGGTGCTGATTCAGAAAATTGCATTGGATAGACCACATCAGCTCTAGTTTCTGAAACAGAACATATACCACCAAGTAATTGCCATCTGCTCACCCACAGAAAACCATATTTAATAATCTAGAGATGACATGGTAGTTATCTTTCATGGGTAGTCAGCCTCTTCCCTCCTGACATCCTTGTTGCCTTGGCACTATTAGAGGGTTTCACGAGACCAGTCACTCTTGCTGCAGCATGGTTTCGAGGCAATGGTGTAGTAATGGTGAGGCTATAGACCATATTTTTGTTCTTGTGGATCACTGGTGGTCCATGGACTACAGTTTGGGAACCAAACTATAGCAGAAAGTAAGCTGGTGCCCTCTTCTATATAGCATCCTTTCAAATATGTAAACATGACTATTATGTCCCCTCTAGCCTCTCCTAGAAGCAAAGCATCCCCAGCTCCTAAGCTCCTCCTCATGGGGCTTTGCTTCCAGATCTTTGATTATTTTGATCTCCTGCCACCAGATGTGTTCCAGCTGGTCAATCTTCTTGAACTGTGTGGGCCAGAACTGGACACAGTGTGATTCCTGGTGAGGCAGAACACAGTGGTACTATGATTTCCTGCAAGCCAGGGTCTTTTCTGTGCTGGTCCCTCGGCTGTGGAACTATCTCCCAAGTGAAATTAGATCTGCTCCAACCCTCCTGGCCTTTCGGAAACAAGTGAAATCCTGGCTATGGGATCAGGCCTTTGCAGGCTACGCTGACCTGCTGGCAAAGCTTTAATGGATTTGATGGACTGCTTTTAGGATGATGACTTAAAACGGTGACTGTTTGAATGTTTTTATACTGTTTTTATTTAAATTGTATATTTATGCTTTTGGTTGTGGGCACCATGGCGTGCCAGTTGTTAGCCGCCCTGCGGAGATCGAGATAGGATGAGACATATATGTCCTAAATAAATAAATAAATAAATTCCTATTGGTTCAGCATAGAATCACATTGGCTTTTTTGGCTGAATGATGCTGCTAACTCATGTTTAGCTTGCGGTCTACTAAGTCTCTTAGATTCCTTCCACATGTTCTGTATTTTCCCCCTTGATATTTAAGTTTTTGGACAATAAAAAACACTTTTTGTTTTGTGTGTTGTTCACGTGTAGTGTCTTCAACCCAGGTGTCACCCATTCTATTCCTGTGCATTTCATTTTTTCTGCCTAAGTGTACTAGTGTACATTTCTCCCTACCAAAATGCATTTTGTTGGCTTTGGCCCAGCTCATTAATCTGTTATTGTCATTTTGGATTATGTATTAGTTATCCTTTCCAGTTTGATGTTATCAGAAATTTCATAAGCATTCATTCCATTCCATCATCCAAGTCAACAATAAAAGATATTGAATACAGCAAGCGACCATTTATCAGCACCTGGAACTATATCTTCTGATTTTCTTTGGCCTTTATCTGGACTAGGAGTGTGCAAAGTTCAACCCTTCAGGTGTTTTGTACTTCAACTCCCACAATTCCTAACAGATGGTAGGCTGTTAGGAATTGTGGGAGTTAAAGTCCAAATCACCTGTAGGGTCGAAATTTGTGCATACTTGGTCCAGACTGAACATTTACTGTCATTAGCTAACAGTAACTTGGAGCAGATTTGAACAGCATTGCCTTGCAGAAAGAAATGCCTTTCTATTTTCTTCCCTTACCTTGTAGCAAGGGGTCAAAGGCTTTAACCCATGGGTGAGCCCTTTCCCCTTGTAATGCTGGAGCAGAGAAGGCAGATCTGGAAAAGGCCGGGCAGGATTCATGTAGAAATCCCCCTGCGCGTTACGCAAGATCTTGTAGTGCCTCACCAGTGAGTCATCTCGCACTGTGAAATTGCAAAAAAGAGAGGTGAAGTGCAAGGTTGCAAAAAGAAAACACCCAGGTCATTAAAGCCTGTGTCAATATCTCCGGGTTCCCGTAAGTGCCAGTCTTAATTGGGTAAGATGCCAGTTCCCACACAGCATGAGAGCTTAGGAGAATCTCTCTTATGGCATGCACTGTAGCTGAGGCTTTGGAGAACCTCCCATTGCTTTCTCTCTGCATCTCACATCTACAGATTGATGTCTCCTGAACTGCCACATCCCCATCCCATGAAATCCTGGGATTTATAGTTTGGTGAAGTCTCTGCTGGAGCACTCCAGGGCTATAGTTTAACTGAATGGATTAGAGCACACCAGCATGGAAGTACACATTCTTCACCAAGCTACCAAGACAAGCATCCCAAGCATTGAGGATGACCTGGGAAGGAATCCCACTGTGGCATTGCAGTGCACCCAAATACCTGGGAGTCACCCTGGACCGTGCTCTAACCTACAAGAAGCGCTGCCTGAATATCAAGCAAAAAGTGGGTGCTAGAAACAATATCATATGAAAGCTGACTGCCACAACCTGGGGATCACAACCAGACACAGTGAAGACATCTGCCCTTGCGCTACGCTACTCCGCTGCTGAGTATGCATGACCAGTGTGGAACACATCTCACCACGCTAAAACAGTAGATATGGCTCTTAATGAGACATGCCGCATTATCACGGGGTGTCTGCGCCCTACACCACTGGAGAAATTACACTGCTTAGCTGGTATTGCACCACCTGACATCCACCGGGAAGGAGCAGCCAATAGTGAAAGGACCAAGGCAGTGACATCTCCAGCTCATCCCTTGTTTGGATATCAGCCAGCACGTCAATGACTTAAATCAAAAAATAGTTTTCTAAGATCTATAGAGACACTCGGTGGAACATCTCAGCAAATTAGAGTCCAAAAGTGGCAGGCTCAAACCTAGAACCTCAACCAATGGCTGATACCAAATGAGAGACTCCCCCCTGGGCACACAGAAAACTGGGCGACTTGGAAGGCACTGAACACACTGCACTTTGGCACCATGAGATACAGAGCCAACCTTAAGAAATGGGGCTACAAAGTGGAATCCATGGCATGCGAGTGTGGAGAAGAGCAAACTACAGACCACCTCCTGTAATGCAACCTGAGCCCTGCTACATGCACAATGGAGGACCTTCTTGCGGCAACATCGGAGGCACTCCAAGTAGCCAGCTACTGGTCAAAGGACATTTAATCAACTACCAAGCTTGCAAATTTTGTGTTTTGTCTGTTTGTTTGTTTTGTTCTGTTAGAAATGTAATACAATTGTCTGGTTGCCTGATACGATAAATAAATAACAAAGCTACACATCTCTGAAGTCCAAAGGATGGAGCTCAAATGATATCCAACTACTACACTGGACAACACACATTTTGGTGCCCTGTTTCTGGGTATATTTGACCTGCTGGTTACAAAAATTGCACCTGTTTTCCCTTATCAGCTCTAGCCTTTGAGATACAGAACATATGTCATAGACCAATCACCATCTGCTTATCTGTATGGCCATGTTCCAGAGGCATTGTCTCCTGATATTAAACCCAGATCTATGGCAGGCATCTTCAGAGGTTGTGAGGTCTGTTGGAAACTAGGCAAGGGAGGACTATATATCTGTGGAATGTCCAGTGTGGGAGAAAGAACTCTTGTCTGAGCAAATGTAAATGTTGCAATTGGCCACTTTGATTAGCACTGAATGGCCTTGCAGCTTCAAAGCCTGGTGGCTCCTCTTATCCTTTTATATTTTAGTCCAGTCCATCTATCATCTATCTATCTATCTATCTATCTATCTATCTATCTATCTATCTATCTATCTATCTATCTATCAAATCTCTACTGCAGGACCGGAAATTATTGGATTGCACCTTCCAACATTGCTGACTTATCTAATTCAGCAAGGGCTCTTGGGAGTTGTAGTCCACCACAATTTGGAGGTTCCCCAAAGAGTTCTATTGCATATTACATTTTATTGTATACTGTTCCAAAAGCAGCCACAAGTGAAAAATGAAGATGGAACTCACAGATGGACTCTCTTGGTTTACATCTGTTCACGTCAGTAAGAAATAGAAGGAGAGTCCAACATCCTTACCTGACAAAACATATTCAGCTCCCATTTTCTCACTGATCCGGATCAGGAAGGCTCCTGTTTTGTTTTCGTCTGACATCAACCGATGTTCGGTTTCAGAACGGGAGATCTGCCCAAAAAACCACCTATAGGAGCATACGAAATTGATTATCTGGATCTACAGATCGATCTATTCCAACATTTTGCTTCCCACAATGACAAAAGATATCATACCCTCCAAGATGTCCGTTTGGCAATTAATCCACATTCATCCCACTATTCCAACTGCTTTCAAAATATCCCACTTTTTCTATCCTCTTGCTTTTTCCCTTTATCTTTGCCTCATTTCAATTGGTGCCAATTGAGTTAAAAGTCCAAAAATACCTCGCTTTCAATTTACTCAGTTGGAGGAAAGGAGAGGAGGAGGTTGGAAGTTTGGCCTTCCCTTGAGACTGAGGCAAAAGCAAAGTGGAGGAGATATCTTCTGACATCTTTCATTTCTCCTCATTAATATTTTTTGCCACCATACTTCTGTTGCTTGGTCACTTGCATTTTGGTTTTTATCTGTGAAACATTCGATCATAAAACAGAATGTTGTGTAAGGGCAAGAGGAATGATGCAAAGGAGGTGGCTATCATTTTTGGTATCATGAAAGCTGGGAATCTGATATATGCACTGCTTCTCAGTGTGGAAGATCTACATGGAAGCTCTTAACATGTATTCAAATTGAACTTATAGCTGGTTCTGGAATAGCCAAAACAGTATCTTCCACACTCAAGTGGGAGCTATTATAGAATCATAGATTTGTAGGGGTTGCATGGGTCATCAAGTCCAACCTATAGCTTATTGCAGGATCTCAAGCTGAAGTACCTCTAAGCTCTGTTTGAAGATGTCTAGAGAAAGAGACCTATCATGACTTTAGGCAAATTGGTTTTGTTGCTGAACTGCTCTAACTGTCAAGAGATTCCTTCTAATGTTCAGTGGAAATCTACCCTTCTGCAACTCAAAACTATCAGACCTGACAATCTCTCCTCTCTGTGACAGGTCTTAAAGTATTTGAAGAGTGTCATCCTGTCACCCTTCACCCTGCAGTCTTCTCTTTATCAAGCTGTCACCTCGCAGTCTTCTCTTTATCAAGCTGAACATGTCCAGCTCTTTCAACATTTCCTCATATGTTTTGTTCTCCATATTTCTTGTCATCTTCATTGCCTTTTTTTCTGAAACCAATTTGTCTATATACTTCTTAAAATGAGAGACCCAGCAGAAACCTAGATGAGACATGGCCAGTGCAGAATAGACTGAAAGAACTGTTTTTGTTGACTTGGAAACTAAGTTTCTACTAATACAGGCTAAAATAACAGTCACTGTCTTTGCCACAGTACCACATTACTGGGTCATGGTCAATTCATGATCGCCAATTATTCCAACATTGCATGTAATACTATGGATCATGTTTCACCCATCCTATGCATTTCAGCTTTGTGATCTAAATTAGAATTTTGCATTTGTTGAATTTCATTTCATTCATTTCAGCCCACTTCTCTAGTTTATCTTTGCATGTTATTGTTTATATGTGAGTTATATTAATTGTATTGTTTATTTGCTTATTGTTCTTTGTTCTATTGATGTGTTGTCGGGCTTGGCCTCATGTAAGCCGCTCCGAGTCCCCTTGGGGAGATGGTGGCAGAGTATAAATAAAGTTTTATTATTATATCCTTTTCAATCCTGTTCCTATCTTCCAATGTTTTAGACGCCCATCCCAGTTTTGTACGATGTGTGAACTTGGCAAGGATGATCTCCAACTCACTGTCTAAATTAGGGGTCCCCAAGCTAAGGTCCGGGGGCCAGATACGGCCCTCCAAGTTATTTAAGAGGTCGTGAGGTCTGTTGGAACTAGGAAAATGGGTTTATATATCTCTGGAATGACCAGGGTGGGACAAAGGACTCTTGTCTGCTGGAGCTAGGTGTGAATGTTTCAACTGACCAGCTTGATTAGCATTGCCTGGGGCAATCTTTTGTTGAGAGGGGATTAGATTGAAATCCACAAGCATGTGGACAATTTCAACAGAAAGGAGGAAACCATGAAAATGAACAAAATCTGGCTACCAGTATTAAAAAAACTCTAAAATTACAACAGCAAAACAACAGAGGGAAAACAATCAGGGACATCTAATCACCTCTCAACAAAAGATTGCCCAGGCACTGCCAGGCCATCAAATGCTAATCAAGGTGGTCAGTTGAAACATTCACACCTAGCTCCAGCAGACAAAGAGTTCTTTGTCCCACCCTGGTCATTCCACAGATATATAAACCCATTTTCCTAGTTCCAACAGACCTCACTACCTCTGAGGATGCCTGCCATAGATGCAGGCAAACGTCAGAGAGAATGCCTCTAGAACATGGCCATATAGCCCGAAAAAACCTACAACAACCCAGTGATTCTGGCCATGAAAGCCTTCAACAATAGATAGAAATCATTTCTCTCTCTCTGACAGCAGGTTGGAATGGAAATCAGTAATTCCTCTTCAGCTCTGTGGTTCTCTGTTAAGATGGGAATTATGCAACCCTCCTGGGATTGACTGCAAATCCTGGCAGCCCTACCAAATGGGGAGGATTTCTGCCAGTCAGATCTGGAAAGCTGCACCACAGTTCTATCTATAGTCATGGTTCTAAGTGAGAAACTTTGCAAAGAATGCTTTTAAACTGCACTGAGCGTATTTTTAACTCTTCCTAACAGCAGAAGCACTCCGATTTCTAGAATTATTGTGATTTTATTTTATTATATGTATGTTGGCATTGAATTCTTGCCATTAATATGTTGTAAACTGCCTTGATTCCCCCCAGGGTGAGAAAGGCGCTATCAATATACGAAAAATAAATAAATAAGTGGGTTGAATTTTAGCTCATGTTCAAATCATGTTTCTAGTCCCTTTGGTCGAAGTGTGTTGGTGATAGTCAGAAGGTGCAAAGGGGATTCCATGCAATTCTTGCAGTGGCATTGCAGCCTTATTATATTCACTAGCATGCTTTCCCCCAGTAACTGAAGTTCAATATAAATGTACACCTCTGCATGTTTTCCATATCATATTGAGGAGATATTGGAAAAAATAGATATTTATTTATGTATAAATTGTATGTACTTTACAAGCACTGAAATGTATAGAAAAATCAGGCTCTCTCTGTATCAGAAAGAATGCTAACAGGACAAGCAAGCTGCTGTCCAGGCACAGCAAGAGGGAGGCTGAAGAGGGGGGCATGTTATCTATACATTCCAAGAGAGAGATAAGCCACAGAGACTGGTACAACATAGCCCAGTGCCTTCCTTCTAGGGAAGGAGCCCCCACTCTCCCTCCTGACAGGTCAAAGTTAGGCCCCTTGATTGATGAATGTAAGCTATGCTGCTCCTAGAAATACACAGAGACATGCCTTTTGCATGCTGGAAAATAGAAATTGATATTTCTGTGATGCTAAGGTGACGTAGTGAATGATGTCAATGTATGTAGAAGCGTGTTCTTTGTTTGCCTGAAGTTGTAGAGGTATAAATGCACACAGTCAACGTCTCTATTGGGCACTCTGGGTGCTTTTGGACATAGTCCACTCCAGGGTCCCAGCTGGAAATAAATCCGTGCTTTTGAGACCTCCGGACCTCTCTTTGTCTCTTTTCCTCAAACCTGCTCCCTGCCATTTCAATATCAGTCCAAATTTTCCAACATTTCAGAAATTAACACCCAAGACATGTGGTCAAACAACACCAGGAAGTGATCAAGTTGGTAAAAAGTTGTGGACAAGGAGGAATAGACAATTTTGGAAAGGCTGCAGCAGTTTGCCTTTGGCTGAGTTTAGAGGGAAGGACAAGACTTCTTTCTCCTCTCCTCTCCTCTCCCAGAAGGTGCATCTACACCACAGAATGAATGTTGTGTGTTACCATTTTAACTGCTATGACTCATTGCTATGGAATCCCAAGACTTGTAGTTTGGTGAGGCAGCAGCACTCTTTGGCACAGAAGGTGAAAGGCCTTGTAAAAACAGCTGTGGATCTATAGCATTGAACCATGGCAATTAAAGTAGTGTCAGTTTGCAGTGATTCCACAATGCACACAAACTTTGACCTCATAAAGAGCATTTTTGACACTGTTTGCAGAAACTGAAGTAGGTTGAGAATAAATGGCGAAAATAGCAATGGAAGAGAAAAATTGGGATTTTTTAAAGCAGCTGAAAAAAGAATTCTTTTATTACCAAAGTGCCATATAAAGGTATTATATGGATCTTATAGAATATACACAGTGGATACATTCCAAAACTTTGCATGCATACATAAAATTGCAGATAATTGCTGTCTTAATGAAAGACTTCAAAATCAAGAACAACATATAGATCAGGCATGGGCAAACTTGGGCCCTCCAGGTGTTTTGGACTTCAACTCCCACAATTCCTAACAGCCTATCGGCTGTTAGGAATTGTGGGAGTTGAAGTCCAAAACACCTGGAGGGCCCAAATTTGCCCTTGACTGATATAGATTTGTGCTGGGGGACCTAAAATGCAAGAGGACATATTTTATCACTAAATCAAACTGTGAATACTGGTCCTGTGGATACAGGGGTTGTGCTGTACTTCTGTTACTTTTGCATATCTACCCAACTTTCATAAGTGCAGCACAGAAAGATGGAGAGAGGCATGAGAGAGATTGTGGCGCAGCTGGCTGAGTGTCAGCTGCATTAAGATCACTCTGACCAAAAGGTCATGAGTTTGAAGCCAGCCCAGGTTGGAGTGGGTTTCCAACCAATTGTGTAGCCTGTTGTCGACCTTTGCAACCCGAAAGACAGTTGCATCTGTCAAGTAGGAAAATTAGGTACCACCTTAAGGTGTGGGAAGGCTAAAGTAACTAATTTATGAGGCCATAAAAAAGACTCCAGCAAAGCACTCCAGCAAAAAAGCATGCGGGGAATGCGGAAGTACTTCATCAGCGTCGCAGATGGACGATGAAAGCGACAGCTCCCCTGGTGGCCAGAAAAAGTTAAATAGCTTCTGTGTATGTCTGTATATGTTGTAAGTCAAAATTGGCATTGAATGTTTGCCATATACGTGTACACTGTAATCCGCCCTGAGTCTCCTGCGGGGTGAGAAGGGCGGAATATAAATGCTGTAAGTAAATAAATAATAAATAAATAAGTCCAAAGCACATGAAACTCCGCTTCTTTCAAATCCATGTCCAATAGTCAGTACTTACGGTTCCGCTTCCACGGTCTCCTGCTTGGCCAAGTAGTTGGAGGGGACATAACCTTCTTGTGAATTCTTGCCCAAGGCATCCAGTTTCTTGGCCCACCACCAATCCCCCGTCTTCTCTATCACCTGGAACAGGTCTCCTGCCCGGAAGCTCATTTCACTCTCCGTCATCCCTTTAAAATCCCACAAGCTGGTATAAATCTTGCTCCGGTTCCTTTTCGGTGGCTCTGGCTTGGAGCTCATGATGGTCCCAGGTCAAGAAGATAAAGCGCAAGAGGAGAAAACACCACAGTTTCACTATGATCACAACCTCACAAATGCTTCTCAGAAAGCCATGCTCTTCAGCTGCAGTTTTCTTGGAGGTATAATACAAGGAAGTCTTTGCAAACCTGTTGCGTTGGCTTACTTGGAGGTAGCAAATCACTGCCAGGCGGAGACTTTGAAATGGAGGGGGAAACCCTTCTCGGCTTCCTCTTTATAGGACAGAAGTCGTAATATATATCCCAGCCCTGCCCTG